TCGTTGTGTTCACTCCCAGGGGAACTACTTCGAGGGTGATGGATGAATTTAATACCTGAGATAAGTGTACGGGTTTTTATAGGCGCAGTCTGGAAACTTTCCGATCGCACCTCGTATGTATTTTCTTATTTACTATTTTATGAGAATGCATCTTCTGTTACTTTTTAACAAATTCTCATCTCTGATACCACACTTTGATTAAATACTTATTAACAAATGTATTACATCATGTCTAAGTACTTTGCCATGCCCCATTGATTGAGATTTGCTGTTTTGTGGGCTTATGATAATATTTAATCATGCAAATATATTACTTGAATTGCTTGCATTTGAAATTGGCTTTCTGTAATGTACAGTCAGTCCATGCATAGACATGTTTCTGTTTTGCATAAAAAATATATCTGTAGTACAATTTTTTTAAGAGTTATGAGGTTCAGTACATTCAGAATTTCTGTCTCTTAGCTTATGAATTTTACTTTCAGTACAGTTTGATTATTTTAATGTCAGTAGTGTTTTCAGGGCTTTAATATTTTGTTTCTTTATTTGTATTCTAAGAGCCCATGTGTTTTTGTTTCTTTCATATGTCTCAATTTCCTTTCTGTTCTCAGTGCCTCCTATGTTTTGTTGTATTAGTTTTTTCTTTCTTTATTTTGTGTTTTCAGGTTCTTATTATGTTCTTAAGCTTGACTTCTCTGGTGAACCTTACTTCTTAATAAGTCAGACTCCCCAGACTATTGGTCTTGGCTTTAACTTCTGCCAGCCATGTGTCATGGCTTATGCACGGTCCAGCTGACTGCATGATGCAGTAGAATATCACGTCCTTTAAACACCACCTCCACTCCATGACTTTAGATAATTTGTAACAACTTTCCCTGAATTAAGGTACAATTAAAAAGTGGTGTAGGTTGGTGAAAAATAACATGCAGAAAATGTAGACATAATGTTTTAAAGTGTTTATATTGATTGAAAGTGCACAATTATTTTCAAATAAATTGTATCCAGAGAAACATTGATGTGTGTTGCAATCGTCTTTTGCCTGGAGACTTTGTTTCCAAACTGTGTCTTAGTTTAAGGTGTTATAATTTACATGAGCCTTTTGATATGCACTACAAACTGGAGTCACAGTGTCATACGTTTGAGTTTATACAATTTCTGTTAAGGTTAATGTTCAACCTGTTTCAGTAAATTGGCCAGGACAGAACTGTGCATTAGGAGTAAAATGCATGGAAATCAGAGGGGCAGATCAGGGTAGTAGATAAAGAACCATATACTGTCCAAAATGTAAACATTATTTCCCAGTGACCACTTGTTGGTCAGTCAACCACCGTTTATATGAATCCTTTAAAAATTCATGTACCTCTCAGTCATGGTCTTCTGGGTTGTGATGCTGCGTGGTCTTGCATGCACCTACCAACAGCAGTGATTTTTAAGGGATTCATGTAACTAGCAACAATTTATGATGCCTTTATTTCTAACATCTTCTGGAAATAGGACATAAATATTTCCATACTTGGTCCTTTTTATTCTTTCACATATATACAAGAATTTCTTCTTACGTCTATAAATACAATAGTTGTGATGTAACAATAGCTGTGATTTAATTAAGTACTGATAATAACAGGAAATTGTGTTAAATAATTATCTTCCTATCTGCATTACAATTTTATGATGGCACTGACCTTTCCATGGCAAACTGGCCTAAAATTCAGAACTTCAGCAAGGACCAAATATTTATTAGATAATGCAATATAAATTAAACATATGAAACACAAACCTGAAGAAAAAAGAGCACAAAAGTAGGAAAAGGAATGTTGCAAATAGAACTGTCATCTTACATCACAGAAATAAGAAGTAATCTTTGAAATATCTTGCCATAAAAAGGGATTATTCTGTGAAATTTGGGTCACACAAATATAGGCTGACATGTTTTAACAGATGTAATTTATTGTATTATGAATTAGTACTTACTAATGTTCTGAATCTGGCCAGAATTATTATAAATATTAATAACTTCTTCTCATCTCCATTTATGACAGTCACATAGTTCATTGTGAAAACCAGCAGTATTGTCAAACATTATTCATTCACCTGATTTTCATGGGGTTGCAACCTGTAAGCATAAAGTTCATGTATTAACCTTTGTCATACAGGATTTAAGCCCATGTACTATGGGGCTGCCCTCCAGACTATAACTCCTGGATTGATAGTTTGGTGGTAAGCTAGTGTGATGCACTGCCAGCTGATTCATGTGTAAACCGTGGCTTACAGACAATAAAGGTTAACTGACCTTGTTGTAGTAGACCCAAAACCCATCTTTGGACATTACTCTGAGATAGTTCATCTAGCTCTTATTTCCTTGATTTATTACTGTGACTAGCTATGGGCTGGACGACTGGGGTTTGATCCCTGACGGTGGCAGGGGATTTTTCCTCTAGCCTGTGTGTCAAGACCATCACTGGGGCCCACCCAGCCTCATGTCCGATGGGTACCGGGGCCCTTTCCCTGGGGGTAAAGCGCAGCCAGGGCGTGATGCTGACCACTCACCCCCATCTAGTGCCGAGGTCAAGAAAGAGTCACCCAGCCTCCTCTACAATGGGTACCGGGGTCCTTTCCCGGGGGTAAAGCCGGCCGGGGCGTGACGCTGACCACTCACCCCTATCCAGTGTAGAGGTTAACAATGACTGGGAGCTTTGACTCTCAAATGCCTACATGGCGTGTAGCAGGACGGCTTTACATTACTTTAAGATCTGTTAATATTATCCCCCCTTTTCAGTTGTCTAAGTAGCTGCTTTCAAAGAGTTTTCCCCAGCAAAATTCTGCATGAGCTTCTCTTCTACAGTTTAAGAAATTAAAGTGCTTAGTTACTTTTGACATTGTTCATGAAGTTTATTAAAGATGGTTGCATGTTATATTCTTAAGCAGAAAAGAAGGAAAAATCAGAAGAGGTAGAATAAGAAACAGAAAAATTATAATCTAACCTTGAAAGATGAACATTTAACAGATGAAGATGGTATGGGTATGTCCTAAGGTGAATGTAGAATAATTTTGAAGACAGTTTTGAATTTGAATGTTAAAGTAAACCACCTAGAAAGGAGACAAAGACTAAGATAGGAACAACAAGTTAGGAAAGAGGTTACACAGAGGGAAGGAAGAATGAGATAAATGGAAAATCTTTGTTGTCAACAGTGCACTTAAAAGTAGAACATCATAGGAGGAAGAAGAAAGTCTACACATAGTTACAATAAAAAGTTTGATCTCTCTTAATTTAAATATAAAGATCATTGTTAGGTATGATTATTTATTTTGACATATAAAATTTCAAATTGCATGCTCTTGTGCACCATACACCATATGTTTAACTTACTCATGGATGATTCCATCTACTCAAGCTAATAAGGTGCTGAAAATGGCAAAGAAATGGAAAAAGTTATTATACTAAGGAAATTGGTAAGATATAGTACATACCACAAGGAGGTGCCCACTTTTACCCTTCGCAATGACAGGATTTGTTCCTGTTGTGATGTCAATGACTCCTTGCTTCCCACCGATCAGGTTGTGAGAGATGCTGCAACAATTCAGGGATATGTTAGTAAATCAGTTACTATATATATATATATATATATAGTAAAATTTGTGTTTGATGAACATGTACTCCCTTTTTGTATTCAGGAGGCCCTAGGGTCAAATCTTCACCCACAGACCAGCTGTCTTGAGGTTTTTCATGGTTTTCCTCAATTCCTCCAGGCAAATGCCAGGATAGTATCTTAATTAGGCCATGAAAGTACCTTCCTCATCCTTTCTAGATTACTATGCATTACTTATGCTGTCATTCTATGTACAGTCTGAGTTATTGACAGCATAATTAAAATGAATAAAAGAAAACTGAACATATGGTTATTTATTTTGATGAAAAATTTTATCGACTACTTTTTTCGAAATGCTGAACAGAAGTGGGCGTAGAAAAGATGGTTATTGTTGCTAGGTGGTTTGAGGCAACTTGACCAAATAGACTGGCACAAGTGTGGACTTTGTATAAACAAACTGGCTGCAAAGGGTAGTCAAAATCTGCAATATTTAAATCTGTGTTTGACAAGGATCATTTCTGTAATGTAACAAATCTCTTAGTTCTCAGTATCAATAGCATAACTGAAATTAAACTTTATGTAATGGAATTCAGTTTTTGTTAACCAAGTTTTTAATAATATCCCCCAGTTTTCTATTTTACGCACTTACGTTCCAGGTTCCATGATTTTTACACTCTGTGACTTCTTTGTAACATCAACAATCTTGGTGATTGCTTCAATTATGTGATCCACCTCCAGAATTAAATCCCCCTGTAAATTAAAATTAGAATTATGTGTTGATTGTTTTCAAAATGCTCTTACACATTATGCAAGTTACTTTTTGTTACAATCTCTTCCTAATGTATAAGTCTGAGTAGACATGACTTACAGCTTGTTAGGTCAGGCTCACTAAACATATGAAAACTATAATGTATTAATCCTCTGTCACACAGAACTCAACCAAATATTTGAAGATTCAGTTTGTATCACTGTATTACAAGGATAACCTGCTTAATGATCTTAGGAAGATAATTTTCTCTGAGAATCATACAAAACGCATAAATTCGCCCTGAAGGTTTTTTCATCGTCATAATTGTTTTTGTTGCTGGTGTTAAGCTTAAATTTCTCCTGTGAGTAGGTATTAATCTCTGCTCATCTGTAGGTAAGACATCAGCTGTCTCTAACTCCAAGTACTGTCCTTAAGATGCTAACAGACAGTCATGAAATTCCCTTCCTTATAAGACACTGAGGACTCACTGCCCTGTTCACAAGAGTCTGTCATTGCTTCCCATCTTGAGGTAATGAATCCACACCTTCCCATCATATTTCTTTAAGATCAACTGTAATATTATCCTCCCATCGCCTCCGTCTTCCAAATCATGGTCTCTTGTCTGTAGTTGTGTAGGAGAGGGGTTTATTGTGGACTTGTACAGTATTAGAAAAGTATTTCTTTCCAGTCATACATATGAAATAAACACAGTATTTTGTAAATAACTGCAATTGAAATTATTGTAAAGGGAAAAAGAGGAAGAAATTGACATTTAATGTATTGTACCTTGTCCTTCTTGTATTCTGTAGGTATCCTGAGCAATAGAAGGTTGTCTGATTCAGTAGTAACCACCAATTCTTGCAGGATTTCCAGCCGAAGGTTGTGCTTCAGTTTGAAAGTCTTACCATCTAGTATATATAAGTGCTTGTTAGTAAGCAGAAGTGCTCGTTCCCTGGGCTTGTAGCCATGGCGATCATACTTTATGACTGAAGTTGAATACTGCAACAAAGTCAGTCATTTGTTACTGTACTGTTAGTCTGAGCTACTGACAGCAGTATTGAATATACCACAAATAAATAAAGATCAACTGAGGTGGCAGTGCAGTATGAATTGATTCTTTTATAAGAACAGTATAACAAAATTTAGTTAGTGCACATTTCTCATATCCCCTGTGTTTGTTACATATCCTGCTCAACTCAGCCTTTATTTAACTGCCATAATAATATTTGACAAGGTTTTATTGGCACAAGGAGAAAACAGTCTGCAGATAGCTATAGTGTCTATGTATAATTTTGAAATACACCCTGAAAAAACAGCAATGACCTTCTAAAGGGGAAACGACTGGTATGTTTAAAGATAATGGATGAAGTTATTGAATAAGTAACACACTAAGTACTTGTGATGTGAGTTGCGTAGCTGTGACAATGACTATGCCAGTAAAGTTTTCAAAACATGTTCATCTTATGACTTTATCAATTAGGCAACTTAATGCCTGTACTGGCTTAAAATCCTCTTCCAATGTCACCTTGGTATTCTTCTTATTCTTCATAACTAAGAGGTGCTGTCAACTGTTGGTCTTTATCCATTCTGTTTGCTTAAAGACACATTTTCTGTATCTCAAGCACTGTAAGAAAATATAACAACATATATGCAACATTGTTTTCTGCAGAAGCACTCACTAGTATTTTATCGCCATTGAGGTGATTTTGCTGAAAAGTCTGTCGCAAGGCCTTCTGTTCCTCAGTGAGCCGGTCGTCCACAAATTGTGGACCAACACTTTGGGGGTATGACTTCTTCTTATCTGAAATATGAAAATTCTGATAAAGTTATACCATATTAAATATGATTCAACTCTCTGTTTTTCAACCTTTTTCATATGGCATCATACTAAAATGCAGTTCAGTATTCCATGCCACTATTGTAAAATTGTTTGTATTTATGTGACTTTGTTTATGTGCGAGATTATTATTATTTATGTAGTTTTTTATGTGAAAAAAGTTAACATTTTGGGAACAAGTAATATATTACATAAGATAGTAAGATTAAGAAGATGGAAATGTGGGCATGGGATAATAATTTTGGCTTGTTCGCTCTGTTATTGCCTCTAGATTTTCAATTTGAGAATACTCCCATGTAAGTGGTGTAAGTCATCAAAACATAAATTTAGTGTCTGATCATGATTTTATGCATTGTGATGCCATGTTTTTTGTAGGTGATTATCAACGTTTTGGAGGAACTATCACCTCCAGATTTTTCTTGGCCACTTAATTATTCTTTACTGTTCAAGAAATCTTTGTTCTTATAGTACCAAAGAGGGCAACATTTCATATGTGAATTATGTGTTGTGACTGATACCTTTGAAGATTGATTCTGCAAGAACTTTGAGCTGAAACTGCCTCTTCTGCTCCTGGCTTAATGCCAAGCGATATTTCCTTGAGAGCCAACTTTGGTGCAATTTATGTAAGAGGGCAGATGCCTACAGGGGGAAAAAACAACATTTTATTAAATCAGAGCTCATAATTACTATATTTATATTTGCTGAAATTTTATTATATTTAAATAAGTAATAAGATAGACTGCAGATTTGATGACTTGGTTTCAGTTTGTAGGAAGGGAATTTTTCTCTTTATGACACTGCAACCCAGAAGTACTTTGAAATCCACCCAGTCTCCTTCCTATCCAGCAAATACCAAGAGCATTTTCAGTCTTTCTTCTTTATTTTATATACAGAGGCTTATCATCATATATACCTGTCCACCCATAGTAACTTGAACTTTTTGTGTGATAAGTGATAGACAATTAAATTACTAATAAAGACTGAAGTACGTGTAAAAGCAATGTGTTTGGAACAGGGTGTTTAAAAATACTAGGCATTATAATGACTATTTTAGGTGCCATTTATCGTTGAGCCCTGTTTTAACCAGTTCCTATAAGATTCATTCTCAATACAAAAAATTTGTTAGATTCTTGTATAAGGCAATTAATTACCTCTCTGCACACAACAGGATGAGAGGGCCAGGATGTGTCCAGCAACTTGGTAGGGAGGTTCTTAGAGAGCCGAATCAGATACTGTGCCTTGGCCAATTCAAGGAATGCTTTGTTCATATCTGTGACTTGGCCATTGCGTGTTATGAAACCTTTGATGAAGCTGAAAAAAAACATAAGATTTTGGAATTAATCATGATCACCATAAATCAGTAGTTCTCAATAGATGGTCTGTGGAATATAGTTGGTCTCTGGCTTGATTTACACCAATCTGAAAATTCTACTTTGCATTTAATGTATGTATTTTTACCAGAGCTAAAAGAGCTACTGTTTTACAACTAATATCATCATCATCATCATCATTATTCATTTATTTTGTTACTTATTAATGATGTGTTGCCCAACTGGTGATAAAATCACAATGTAATTAATTTTTTTATTATTAACATGTTTAAGTATGCTAGTAACAATTAGATTAGTAACCTGTTATACTGTAGAATGTGAGACAGGCAAGCAACCAATCTTCAGAAAACTCAATGTTGTTCTACCAGTGTCAAAACAGGAATGGTGCAATAACCCACAAGATGATCATCCATATTCACATCTCTGTGAGATCCTAAAATCCTACAGAAAAGCAGTATCTTTATTATATCTGAATCATTAAAACTAACCTTCTGATGATATTTACAGCTTTGTATCTTCGTTCAGCCTGCTTTCTTGCAAGGAATCGTCGTGACCATTTCTCAATAGTAATGGCTGCCTCTCGCATTTTTAGGTATCGCAGTCGCTGCAGACGACCTTTCCAAATCTTCTGAATAATTGTGGCAATATAATGTTTCTTTGCTTGGAATGCATCTTCAGTATCAAAAAGTGTTCTTGGTGATCGAATGAAGATCTTAGTACTGGTGAAAAGAGGTAGAAGTTAATAAGAAATATAATGTAGACAAGATTAACATAATTTTTATTTTCTTTGGAGTTTGTCTTAATGTGAATTAGTATGTAAAGCCATAAATATTCTTCTTGAAGACTAATATTTATCTTATGGTAACCCGACTACAAACGTTTTCAAGTTTATTCATTACTTAGACTGGCTGGTTAATGGATATAAAGTTGACTCCACTGAAATGGTTATTTTTTGCTGTAAACGCATTAAATAAATCAAAATAACTTATAACTAAATATAAATTTGGTAGCGACAATTCCTCCACAGCAGATGTTTTTACTGCTAGGTCCCCATAAGATTTAGAGTCCATGTTAAACTTTAGGTTTCCTCAGTCAACCATGATCTTCATAATCACCCTATCTGCCCTGTGGGTGTCCCCACCAGCTTCTAGTCTTTCCAAGGGTTGGCAGAGGCCAGATCGTCATACACCATACCTGGAGAAATTAGAAACCAACCAACCATGCTGCCTCAATGGTTTCTTGGATCTCAGACCAGATGTAATGGTTACACCGTCATAACTTTGTTTCTTGAATTAGACTTATGTTCTTCCTTCAAAGAATGCACTTTGGTTATAGCATCATGACAGAATTTCTTGATTAGGTTGTGGCATTTTTCATGCTGGATTTAAGGGTTATATTAACTGTGGCTTGGTTTACTGAACTAGGTGTTGGCATCTTTGTCATACCAAATGCAATAGTTATACTGAATTGACATTGCTATGATAATGTGGTAAACCATGAGATGATGAGACTGATATTAAGATGAGAAAGGCTTTGCATTGTACATCATACTTCTTCTACCACTAATCAGAGTTTAAAATGTATAAGAAAAAGAATGCATGTTTCAGTATTTGATAGTTGTGAATCAGAAGAACTGGAAAATTACAGATAACACATGGATTGAGATGTTTTTAGCAACAGATACAATATTTTGTTTTTACTAGTTGGAATTATGGATTCAATTTTCCGACAATAACACGTGTTCTAAAATGATAAATTTTTGTTATAATTCTCAGGAAAACGTATGTACTACAAAGAGTTGACAGTTACTGTTCATATTCCCAGTCAGATTTGAAAGTCCTGTTCCATGGTACTCTTTAATATTTAAAGTGCATTTTAAACTCACTTGCCCATTCTGTATTCATCTTTCTCAAAACCCAAGTGGCAGACTATATCCTGGACACCTTGCTTTGGTGGACCATGATAATTTGGCCATGTGTTGGGAGTTAGGCACTTGTATCGCTGTAGGAACATTTCGTATGGTCGTCGGTATGCAAACCCAGCACGTCGTACACGCAGGTTTTCCATCAGACCCAGGTACTTAACTTGGTGAGTCACTATCCTGTCATCAAATATACCTGCAGCATAAGTAGTAATCTTATGAGTGGTCTGAGCATGTGCCAGTACAATGATGGAGTTGTTCATTCTCAAAGTATATTTAATATATATAGTGTTTTGGGAGTTGGCTCTACCCTTGTCCATTGTCAGAGGTGTACTTAATATTCATGGCATTTCAACAGTGCCACTATACTGATAGACGACACTGCTGCCAATAATATAAGTACTAGAAGCAACATAAAAATCTGTTATGACAATCAGTCAACCAGATTGGTTTAGAACCAACTACTGAAATTTTGTGTATATTAAATAAAGCTCAGAAAAAGATAATGATGAATATAATTATTTTCTCAGACTTTGAGATACATCTGAGCATGTTTTAGAATAACTGAAAATGAGGAGGAAGAGTGTTATTTTGATACCTCTGAAGAAAAATCATATAGGAACACTGTGTGACACATTGACTACTGTGGTCAGAAAGTTCTGATTAATGTATACTCAAGTATGCCACTGTAATTGGAAACTTTTCGAACCTAACACTATGATTTCTTAACAGTGCCTTCCACTTTGTTTTGATCTTTCATATAGAGTAAGGACTGTTGTTTATTACAGTGCCATTACTATTGGCACATGACAGAAATCAGTATTTTCATCAATGTTCACTTGGTTATGCATACACAAGGGAACTGCTCATAAAACTGAACATTGATCAAAATATTGATGTATGTAGTGTGCCATATACTAGCAGGGTTGCAGTATTATGAAAAATTACAGTCTTTAGGTAGGTACCAGAGCCAGTCTGGACACAGTAGCTAAGAGAAAAATCTTTTCTCTCTACTGAAAATTGAATTCCAGTCATCCAGTCCACAGCACAGTTACTATACTGACAGAGCTAACCAGCTTCATGAATTGGAACAATAGACAGCAAATAATTAATGTTTTCCTTAAATCATGTTTCTCAAAATCCACCAGTATCACAGCATGTTAACTTGGCTGCAGTCAGTGTGTTAGATCATGAGGTGTCTTATGTTTCTGCATTTCAGTTGGTAAAAGCAAATAAGTGACATCTACACAATATTAGAGATGTCATTATTTCATTATGGTTATGCACATATTGGTAGATTGATGACCTGCATTATGTCACTAGTATACACACACCAGATCTCTGATCATCATTTGGCTTGATACATCGAATGTAGGATGGTTCTTTGTTCATGAGGATCTCCATGAGCTGATTAAGACTGTTCTTGAACTGTGTTGCTGCAGTGTCTGGTCGCTTTTTTGTCATCACATCACTTACTGGGAACACTTCCTGTTACAAAAAATATCATTTTATAAACAATGTTCTTATGCTGCAAATTACAATTGCTGTATTAAGCCAGTGTCCTGTGTTAATGTTGTTTGGAAGAACAGTATTTTATACAAAAATAATATTTATGTTGTACATTACAATTACTATTCCTGTTTGGTAAATAGTATTCCACCAAACAGGAACATAATGAGGTCCTGGATCATGTTCGTAAAATCCTACCAATCCACATTATCTATGCCCTAGTCTCCCAAGTGATCCCTTTCTGTGCGACTTTCCAACCAATTATGATTCTCATAAAGATGCATAACATAAATCATCATTTGCAAACATTTCTTATCCATTAGCAATGAATCTTTAAATTCCACCAGGATTTTTATTAACCAGCAAAATCTAGATCACCTGCTTGAGAATTACTCTGTATCATTTGGTTAATTAGTCATTTAATTTCTTTTGAATAAAGGCATGTTCATGATAAGTTAGTAGTATTTTAGTATCAAGAGAATCAATATTATTTGAGTTATATCTCATAACAGAATGTATCTCTACTTTTACATGAATAAGCAGATAGTACATACTTTTGTGATAGAATTAGTAGTTTCACTCATGACTTCACGCAGATCCCTGAAGAGAAGGTCATTGTTCTTGTCTAGGAAACCATCTACATTGTATATGACATCTCCAGCATAATGCTTCAGACAGAACTCCTGAAATTACAAAATATTCACTTTTTGGTATCGATTATTCATCACCAATGGACAATTACAAAACACACTTCTTTCTGTAATTAGGACGCATGGTCCCCTTTTAATGTCAAGTTTAGGACAGGAGGTTTCTGGGTTTTGGACACATCTTATTGATCATGATTACATTTTGCTTGAAGGCAACAGTGTGCGTTGAACAATGAAAGTGAGCAGGATTTTCACTTGGTTTCAAAGAACAATAGAAAGAAGATTGTTAACCATATATGACATTGATTTGAAATATGACATACCTGAGATTTTAGAGAAGAGCAGCTGTTACTCGTGTGCTGTACTTTTTATGTGTTCTTACAAAAGTGCACAAAAAAAAGAACACATAATGAGGATGTAAAATTTCTTTGTTTGTCACCTGCTACATTTTCGTATCTCAAAATACTCAACCGAATTTGGTACTGGGGTCTACAGTTAATGTTTGGCAAATTTAGTTTTCATCTATATAAATCCAATAATGTCTCTTTTTTGTATGAAGCTGAAATCAAGCTGTTATCATTTTTCTCAGAATATGCCTTACTGTATAACATGATATGAAACATAGATCTGAGATATATATTTTAAACCATTTTCACTATGACATATATTTAATCCTTTAAAGCCCAGTGGTAACTGTATGTACCACCTCCTTTAATAATCAGTAACGTTTTGCATTTTGGTCACAGAGTTGTAGGATGGATCTGTATGATTCTCATAGTACACAGTGATTGTTTACTGAAAACAGCAACAAACAATTTATCTTTCTAATACGGATGCATTGCATTTACAGCTTTGTAGGGTTAATAGAGTAAGCATGTAATTTGATATTCATAGTATTTTCTTGTTTAGCAACATTTAATTTCTATCTGCAATAAATAAGTGGATTTCAGTTGGAGTTCATCTCTCCATTCCCGTCATAGTCAGAACTGTATTTGTAGCATGTTTTGAATATAATATTTGCCTTGAAAATATGAGTGTGGTTTGTGCCTGTTTAACCTCTGTTTTCCATACATTGGAGTATTCTATAAACTGTAATAGTTGGAAATTACAAGCACAATAACAGAAGAGTAACAATGAATCTGAATTTTTGAACTTACCTCACGAGACATAGATTTCTGCAAATCTTTTCCAGCCTTCCTGTGGCTAATGTAATGATCGTGGCTTGACAAGTTCTCATTCATCTTGGCAAGGAAGCTCTTGTCAGTTGGTTCACCAGGTCGGAGACATTCCTCATCCATGAGGGATATTATTCCTGTGAGAGTATTTGCTTCTATCAACAAGTAGGCATGTTAAGTTTTTACCATTGCAGTTTAGTATCCCATTCAAAACTCGTATCTTCACTGAGGTTTCATTGAAGAAGTTTGGTCGGTGTGAACAATTGATAGCTGTTTAAGTTATAATTACAGAAGATTTATTACAAGGCTGTCTGATCCATGTCACTTTAACATAACCCGACCTGACCCCCGAGTAAAATTAACTGCTGTCTCCTTGTCAATTGAAGTAGTTTCAAATCGTTGAATAGTAATAAACATTTTAATAACGCCACTTACCCTTATGCTTCTGCTCAATCAGGTCACAAATGACCTTGTTATTAAAGTATTCAACATGTTCCCATTCAATGCCCTCCTTCTGGTACTCCTCCTGTTCTGACTTGAGTGTTAGTTCAATGAAAAGTTGCTGAAGCTTTTCATTGCAGAAGTTAATGCAGAATTGCTCAAAACTGGAAAAGAGATGCAAATTATGTAATTTAACTGTTCTTATGTTTGCTTCAGAGAGGAAAAAAGTTTCCATTAAATAAAGGGCATGTCCTTCCTCATTAAATTTAATTTACTTCATTAGGTTCTTGCGTAAATGCTCATTTTATTTATGACACATAAAAATAATAACTACAGTACGGTGGCTTCATAATGTGTGAAAGATACCTTGTTAAGACAGGATTAATTCAGATGTAACCTCGAGAAGATTAAGTGTAAGAAATGTAATAATGCAGAAAGGAACATAAATTCATGGGGAATTAACAACTTATGTTCCTTACCTGTTTCTCTGAAATATTTCAAAGCCATAGATGTCTAGGATCCCCATAACTTCTTTCTTCTGACTCTGTTTTGGCTGTAGTGATGTGTTTAGTCGTGTCACAAGCCACGTGAACAGTCGATCATATACAGCCTTTGCTAATGCATCTCGTGCATAGATTGCCATCTCTCTGGTCAGTGGGGAGGTCACCACATCGCCTTTGGCGTCAATAGTTCTGTGCGTGAAGGCTCTGTCCAACTTGCTTGTTGTACAGCCCAATAACTGCAGACATAAACAATTTGATCAAATACAAAAGAAATACTTGTAAATAAATATTGTTTGTCAAATAAGTTTCTTGTGTCTTAATTCAAATTATACACTTAATGGCATAATGAACATATTTAAATACTGATAACTGTAAAGCTAAAGTTACCCTTGTGCCATAAAGGAATGTGGGAAACATTGAAATAATGCTTCAAATATTGGAAACCTTAGCCCTATATGAATGTGAATGGTAATGTTACCATTTCGCACTTATTAACTTGCAGAATATGTTTGTAAGTTACTTACTTTTGATACAGCTTCAACACACTCAGGTTTAAGGATCTGCGCTTTGCCCTCCTCCTCTGTGAAGCCAACGTTGCCCATGTGCAACACACTGGCAACTATGGCAAATATATCCTCCTGCTCCTGTTCTGTCAGTTCAATCACTGTCATAGCCTTCCTTACTTGCTGAAATTGCTGATGGTCATCAATCGTATTCACTCGCCCTTCAATCTGTACCAACCACACAAATCATGAAGTCTTACATAAAATCTTAAAACCTTGCAGTGTATTGATATATAAAATAATGCATACAAACTGTTTACGTTTTGAAAAGTCACTTAGTACACATACACCTACATTTGAACAGCGAATCTTATTGTGAAGTCTGGATTCTTAGTGGAAGATGGAGGATGAATATTTTAAGGATCAGATTATCAGGTTTTTCTGTTATTTGTTGGTTACATACTTACACCATGAGTGAAGTAGAAGTATGTGTCCAAATTTCTCTTCAGATGAAGCTTGGTAAGCATTTCATCATCTGCGCCTGCTAGAAGCTGATAAAAGATGTGGAAATTTCGTTCCCTGGGATTCTGGTGGATTACTCTTGACTTCTCAAGCAAGTAATTAAGGATATTTCCTCCCACTGGGCTACCCTAAATCAAGAAGGCAATCCTTTATGTATTGTTAGTTACTAACTCTATGGAGTGGAGACCTTTGTGAGGAACTGAGCTTCTCGGCCAGTCAAGAAATCCTCAGCCTTGTATAGAATATGCAAGTTCATCACACAATAGCCTGCCACTAGACACTACCCTGAGTCTTTGTAATTTATACTGAATATGAGTCAAGTTGGCAGGCAATAATTAGTTGTGCCATGGCAGTTATCATCACACGGTGAGAACTAAGATAACATACATCAAGCTTTGCAGTCGGTACTGCGATAATGTCACATGGATGAGGCATTTTGTTGGATTTATGACATTGAAATGTGTTATTAGAAAGGGCAGATCATCTGCAATGAAGTCATCATAGTGAATAATGTGATGGCAGTAATTAAACTGGGATACTAGCAACGACCCGTTCTTCAAGTTCCTGAGCTCTGCGGGTCCCAACTTTTCGTTGGCTTGATCTGTAGACATTTTGGTAGGACTCCTTGGACGAGGGATTGGCCAGTCGCAAGGCCTCTACCTGTACACAGGACAGAAAAATGCTGACAAACATCCATGGCTTGAGTGGGATTCGAACCCACGGTCCCAGCGACCAAGCGGCAGAAGGACCACGCCTCAGACAGCGTGGCCACTGCTGACCCAATTAAACTGGCTTCTAATAAATAATGCTATAGATGTATGATTATCTTAGCATTACAATGAGTGGCAAGTCACAACACTGAATGAAGTTTTGTACCTTTTTCTCTGTCTGCATAGGAAACTGTCACTAATGCACCATCTTGTTTGATTCCAACTTTAATGAAAATAGATTGAGTGCTTCTGCATGGGAGATGGAAAACAGATGTGTAAGAATACAGAAACAGATTCTGAGGCAGTGAAGAAGATAGAAAAATATAAGTCCTCGTATTCATTTCAAACCTTTTTACTGCAGTGACTGATTGTTTAAAAGACAAACTAGTAGAAAGATGAAGAAATTGGAAGATGGTAGCAGATACTTGTACAAGTGTGCATTTCTGTATCCTCAGAAAACAGACTTATTTTAGATCTTTCATTAATTTAATCCTGTTGTGGTTATTGGGACAATTATTTTCAAACTTATTTCTTCAAGTATGATCCCAGTGGAATGAAACTTATTTTCCATTTTGAAATTCCAAAGATAAATTTATGAGAAAAACATGCAACACTTTCTTTATCTTGAGTTTAGTAACAATACAACTATCAGTTTACCAGAGAATCAAACGAAATATCCATATATTTGCCGAAGCGACTCGAGTTATCATTGCGGTTGGTCTTGGCGTTGCCAAATGCCTCCAGCACTGGGTTTGACTGCAGAAGTTTGTCTTTCACTGTTTCCACCTGAGCTTTGTGGCCAGTTGTTGCTGCAATAAACTGCAGTACTTTCTTTGATGCCTCCGTCTTTCCAGAACCCGATTCGCCTGCACAAAATAGAGAAACCAGACTTAACACATTAAACGTTGGCATGTATTCCTGATAATCATGATGACAACGATAACAGCAGTAATGCTATATTCAGTTCAGTACCAATTTTTAAAATCACAATTAATTTTTAAGAATATTTTATTCAGTAATCTTTAGGTTAAGAATACATTTGGAGAACAGAATGATTTAAAGATTTCAGAAAGTGCTGGTATTCAGAAGAGATAAAACTAAGGGCAGTATTTCATGAGATTTTTGACAAAGGGTGTTGCCAATGTGTCCTAATGAAAATTAGGAAAATTCAAATTCAAATTGTTCTTTGATTAATTTTATTAATTTAGTGAAACAGATGCTTAGAAAACAGGCCCTATTTTTAGATGCATATATTTATGTGATATACATACGATAAATTTCTATCAAGATCTTTGTAACAGAAATATCACAAAACCAACTGTGCCTGAGTTACATAAATATGTACGAAACCCAAACTATTTAGTAACAATTAAACTAAGTAAACCATTGGTCCACGGCTGGACTTAGCAAAGAGTCTGCCTTAACACGAAGCACATTCATAAAGCAGAGAGTTAAATATAGAGAAGTTTGCCACATGAAGTATCCTCTGTCAATTCTTAAAGTGATCTGAGAAATTGTTATTGAATAATTCTGAGAGAACAAACCTGAAATAAGGATGCATTGTCCTCTGTTTTCTTCTGTTAGAGACCTGTATGCTGTGTCTGACACTGCAAATCTGAAACAGGCACAAATTAAAAGCATGAAAGATACTTGAAGTTTGCTGCTTTGAAAAGGAACCTACAAAGAAATCGAAGTTCCAAAATATAGATTTACATGTCACTCTTAAAACAGCTTAGCAAGAGTGAAAAGGTGTTTTCAACCTGTGTGCTTCAACCCATATCATGAATTCAGGATTCTACAGATGTGTTCTTTGAGATGTTTCGTACTTGGTTTGTCTTGATGTTCATATTCATACCCTCATATCCTATTTCTTTAACATACATTTTAATATTATCCTACCATCTGTGGCAAGTCTCTTTCCTTCTGATTTTACGACTAAAATTCTATATGCATTTGTTTTCTCCAGGTGCCTGTTCATGTTTCAGCCATCTTATTGTGCCTGATTTGCTCTCCCACGCCAATTTATGTTAATCATTGCCATAAAAGTCAGTCATATTTATTTCATTTACCTTGAACACACCAATCACTTTGCATACGCAAACGAGTCCCACAGCAGCGCCCAACAGAAGGGCTGTCATGAGATAAAACAGGGTTAAACTCCTGCTATGGACGTTTGAATATTTATCATGGCATCACATCCAGACCAGGTATGGGACCCACTCATTCCCTTCTGAAGACACTCTTTTGGGAGAGGCAAAGTGGCCGGAACCCGAAGCTGATCATTAACCTCCACCAGTGGAAAGTCATGAATGCATAGAGCTTTACCTCCATGCATTCTACATAATAGTACAGTGTTCAGATTCAATGGCAAGTTTATTGTAGGTCTGCGTTAAACAGTGATCTCATTCAGTATAGTAGCTACAGCTTAGACGACAGGGACAGAAATTTATTCATCGCCAATGTCGTGATGGTTCTGGGACGAACCAGGAGATAGATTATGGAGCCCAGCACTCAGGTGTGAAGGTGATGAGGGCGTGGAAATTCATGCCACGCTACACCAATGGCGCTGTGCTTTGGTTCTGCGGGCGTGGAAATTCATGCCACGCTACACGAACGGCGCTGTGCTTTGGTTCTGTTATTCAATGCCCGCTGTTATACTTTCGTTTTAACCTCAAACTTCTGCGGACAGAACCGTCGATAGGTCGACAGGGACACCAACACAAAACAAATAAAATTATTGCTTTGTACACTGACACCTTTTATAGACGTCGGGAGGATAATTTATAACAGAACTGCATGGTGGTAAGCATTCATCAGACTTAATCTTCTATTAATTTCTTCGTGAATGCAATTTTGGTTTGCTTTCGTCGTTCCCAAATGTAAAAAACCCGTTATTAAACAAATAATCAGTTTCTTTTTCTATGACTGGATCGATATTTAGGACGTCTTCTTCATTCTTCTAGGCCACAAATTACGTTCGCGAATAAGTGGTTAGTTGCTGTAGCCGACCCCAGTTGAGTGCATGACGTCACCCCAATCTTCCAACTTCTTTCGTCCCACGTTAATGGAGGACTAATGAGATATTGTTAGTTTTTGTTTCAACTTCGCCAGTCGACGAATCCAAAATTAAAATATGAATAGGCCAATACCAAATGACAGTTTTTTTTTTGTATCTAACGAAGACTAAGAAGATTTTCGTTCATTATGGTTCCACCACACCTGAATCCGACGTTGAATTTATGCATTTCAGGCGAGGAACGTATTGCAGTTTGGGAACTTGATAAAGACAGCCGATATTTCATTCAGACAAGTAAATTCGAGTGTGAAAGGAAACGAAGAATCTTTTTTAACAATATCAGTAAATCAGACTGTTATCTAATCGATATTAGAGATAAGATACATAAATGCAGTCTACATTCTGACCTTCAGCACAATACCAAGATCCATCCCACTCTTATCTCTTCTTTTACGTGGGGAATTTTTGAGAAATTGTGCTTACATGCTCTTGGAATCCAGATGTTGCGTACGTGTCCGGCTGCTGGTTTTTGTGCCTCATTCTCTGAATTGGAAAGTATCTGTTCTCCCATCTCGTACGTGTCCGGCTGCTGGTTTTTGTGGCTGATTCTCTGAATTGGAAGGTATCTGTTCTCCCATCCACGAGGTTTGGACGTCAAGTGCTTACCCGAAGCGGTTGTCTGATATTTATCCACAGATAATTCATGCTCCAGCATCGTTTCTCTCATTGTGGCGGTGTAAAGCATGCCAGAGGGGGAAATACCACCTGGGAATTCGATGTGGTGGCAGAGGGAATACATCAAAAAACTCATGATGCCCACTCTCCAGCCGGAAGAGTTCTGATTTTGAAGCAATAGTAGAAGGAAGTCAGACTTAAAATATAAAATAAACCGATGGGAGAATACTATAATTCATTGAATAAAAATTTCCTTGGATATTATCCATCGTCTAGTAAATATAAAACGTAAAAAAACGACGTTTCGGAGATGGGACTCTATCTCCGTCTTCAGGTTGGGCCCACTAGATAGATCTAATCCCTATCTCCGGACAAAGTAATTCATATTAAAGAAATAGAGTAAAAGAGCGCGGACTGATTTAATTGTGTAGAGTAGAAACTAGTTGAGGGTTCTTTTGGGTGAGGTGCCCCGCCCACAAACCTGTGTGATTAGAACGAATGGCGGTAGAAAACACATTGTATCGTCAAAGCAACATTTTGAATGTAACGGAGCCTATCGACCTGACCAAGTGAACATTTCGACCAATCGTCCGTGCTTGTTTAACGGGCAGCATCCGGGAGCCTGCGGGGGTGTTCAGTGACTCACGTTCCACCCTTATTTCTAAACACGAGCCATAAATTCAACCCCCCTTCCCTGTCAAGGTTTCGTGGGCAATGTTTGACTCACGGTCCCGTGCAGAATTTCACGTCCTTTGCCGCGTATAATCTCTGAAACTAAGTGCACAGATAATCGGACACGTTCACTGCTCCAAGGTCTTTGTACTTTTTCTATCGTTCACGTGACTGATTTTTTGTTTGACGAAACATTCTCAGCGGCTTAAGATTTGAGTTGCAAAGGCAAGTCTCGTTGCTGCGAGTCGCCGCGTATGTCGAAAACGCGTGAAACGGGAACTGTATGATTCCATGAGAGGCCTTGATTTGTGGTCTCCAGAGTCAAAATCGTGGGACGAGTCGGTGAAACTGCGCGCGCAACCCGTGGTCACGTCTTATTATACGCTGAATGATCTGTGGTTTGCGTAATGATGTTGGCCTAAGGCGGTCGGAACGTGAGGCTACCAAGTCATCTCTTTGCAGTGCCGAGGTTGGGGCTTGCATGGCGGCCAACCGAGGACATTTGTCGGTTACGTTTGATATGTTGAATTATTAATTCCATGAAGACAATACGCAACGCCCAGTCGCTTTGCGTTTTAAATTACGTGAACAGAGATCCGTCTGTCTAGTGGCTAAGCATCACGTTTCCTGTGTCCGTGATTGATATTTACAACGTTTACCACCACGCGACGCCACTGCGGCAGATAGCAGAAATAAAAGTGTGACGTCACTTCCTTTCGTCCTGAATTCTATGATAATAATTCAGAGCTTGTGTCTTTCAGTGGATTAATTTTCATTTAACCCTTTGAAGCCGAAGATCGTCTGAATATTATTTATGAATTCAGTCCGTACCGCGAAGAAAACACTACACCTCACCATTACGAAAATCAGCTGGTTAACCCTTTGAAGCCGAAGCTCGTCTTCATAATATTTACGAATCCAGACCGTACCGCGAAGAAAACACTTCACTTAACCATTAGAAGTCGAATCAGGCGGTACCACATAACATAAGAACATCCCGGTCGAAGCCTTAAAAACACGAAAAAACTCTATTTAAAAGAGCATTTCAATATGAAATGTACTAAAATGAACCCGCATATCGCTAAATAAGGCAACGCTCTCATTTCCATGAATGTATTACTCATTGTCGGGGAAATTACGTGGGTCATTTAGCGGAGCGCTAGAAAATAGGCTGGCAACGAGAAAGGGATTAACTAATTGCCTCAAAGACATTATCACGCTTAAACTGTATCACCTACTGATTATCTCTACTGTCTTGTTACTCTGCTCCAAGACGTGTTCGTACGTATGGGAATTTCCCGACTGGCATCCAGTAGGTTGGAGCAAGGTATAGCTCCTTATCCTGCGTTTCTCGAGTTCTGTTCCAGAGACGGAATAGAGAACCTCACATCTCAACAAATTCCCACTCGTTACTAATTATTTCCACAGACAAACGAGTAGTGAGTCATGCGTTACTACCCATTAACTGAAGGTGAAACACGACCATCATTATTCCATTCACACTGCCTTACGTTTGCTTAGAAAGTAAAGGTGAACTTATCACCGCGTCTAAGCACAGCACCATGAATGCGCGTAAGAAGAACGGAGGTTCGACTCTTGTGTCTGTAGACTTGTAGATGTGGGTGAGTGGTTATTTTCACGGTCTGGCTTCTGGTACCCACTGGAGCCTCAGCTGGCGCTTACGTGCCCTTTCCAGCGTCCGAACTACGGGCGTCCAGTCCGTCACTTTACTCACACTTAGAAATGGAACATTTTCATGGCAACAAATTTTAAATTGTCTTAATCTCACTTTACGGCACACTTAGAAATGGAACATTTTCATGGCAACAAATTTTAAATTGTCTTAATCGCACTTTACGGCATTACATGACGTGACACTTTTGAAGTAAGCCTAATGCGGAGGCGGGCAAAATATGGCACAGCTGCACAGCATCGAATGGATGGATACTAAAGGATGTTTAAGGCGTGGCCTATTTTAATGTTCTCTTCTAGAAATTGTATGGAAGACGTGAGGAAAACAAAGATAAATCTTAGTCTGGACAGTCCATAGCAGGGTCGAGATTCGAACCCAGGACCTGTCTAATCGGGAATGCTGACACTCGACCGCGATGTCCGATGGAGTAAAGTTCAGTGTGTTAAGTAGGCTGTGGTCCAGTTCATCAGTTGCAATTCGTCACCCGTTAGAAATACAAACGCCTTTCACCACACAATCCGTCTATCTCTCTATCTGGAATTTAAGAATAAACTGTAGAAGACTGAGGATGTTTGAGAACAAGACGCAGGGGCAATTTTAAATTACGACCAGACTAAATTCGGAGATTGTTTGAGATTTGTAGCTTGGTAGAAGTTTGCTGACGTTTCAGAGGTGATTTCGGCCCCCATCATCCAAGAAAATACATATCTTTGGAATTAAACACTGCTATGTCAGAACTAAGACAAGTTTTTTTCGAACACCCATCATATGTAGGCTTTGTGGAATGTGTGGACAGAGTAAAATTTGGACAATCTTCACGTTAAGTAACGTTGGTAGTTGATACTGTCTGTTTACAGGTCTGAATATTTATCCGCGTCTAGTTATGTAAAATACTTTCGGCCAGATAAGCCCAGTTTCCTCTGAAATCAAGATTGTTTTCAACCGAGGAACTTTGAGCAACCTGTAGTCACTTCAAGAAGTATTCAATAAGCCGAGACAGATGACAGATAAATAAATGATTACGGCAAGATAAGATAATGTAGCTGTTGCCAGTGACAGCTACCACAAACCAATAAGGGCCTCATTATGGAAACAAGAAATTCGGCGACGCTTGAAGTTACCATTCCTTTACGTGGTTAAATAATCATTATTTCCACTACCACGCGCTCTGTAATTATTTCTAAAATGTTAAATGCAAAGTCTACAAGAAAATGCTTCATACACGTCTGATTTAGAATGGTTATTATTTAGAACAAAAGCCTGAAAGGAAGAGACCACTGGAGAGAGACACAGGCGTTAATGGGAGGATAATATTAAAATAGAATTGGTTCAAGAAAGGGTTCAGTGACGGGATCTTGTGGACACAGAAATGAATTCTTTGAGTTCCATAAAAGGGTTCAGTGACGGGATCTTGTGGATACAGAAATGAAATTTTTGAGTTCCATAAAAGGCAGGGAATTTTTAACTAGCTGGGTGACTGTTAGCTTCTCAAAAAGGACTGAGTCCCACGTAGTTATATGAACAATCAAGTGACTATTAAGTTACGCTGAGAAATATTTTAAGCTTTAGGCCTATATCTGAGTTTTTTTTACCAATCGCGAATAATAGACAGTTTTAATATTATCCACATATTGTTTCCAGATGTTAATGGTTACGGTTAGCTCAGCCTCTTATGTCTCGTGCCCGTATCACAGTGATATTGTGTGATTATCGACCCACACGCAGGAGAAACCAAGTTGTGACATCGAGATAAAAGTTGGCAGATTTTGAAACGGAATCTTAATTACACTTTGATCTGGAACAAAACTAAGAGTTTAGTCCGGGGGTTCTCACCCTTTTTCGCTGGCGTACCACTAATTTTAATTTAACACATTAAATGTACCACTAACCAAATGCGTTCAGGGAAAACGTACGTATGTTAATATTATCCATAGGTTGAGAAACCTACCAGGTAGTCTATTTTTATAAATATTATTAACATGAAACTTAGGCTAACTCAGTCAAACTCTATACGTTCTTCGCACATAAGGCCTAAGTCCTGTCCATTCGTTAGAAAGTTTGTTTTCCGAAGAGACTTAACGGATTTGGATACAATTTGGTATTTGTAGTCTATACTAAAGTTTGTCGCGCGAATTTAATTTTGGTTTGTATCTGTCTAGTAAGAGCCACGGTGGTCTAGCGGTTAGAACGCTGGCCTTGTAATCC